CCCGACGGGGTTAAATTCCGGGCGGGGGTAGAAAATGAACTGCGATCCGTTATGGCCCGTGCTCGAGTCGAACAAGCTCCCTCCGGGATACATGAGGGTCAAGGACTGAGGGGAGGTGCGCACTAAGCGCTACGAGCCTTACTTCCCATGCCTTCCAACCTCGATTCAAATTCATACTGCTGGCGCACCTCTGAAGTTGTAATTGATTTGACGTAGACACATCCTCCACAGCCACTCTGGTTTCTATTATTTCCCTCTTATAGTGTAGCCGCCCAATTCGTTCAGAGAACTTCTCGGCAATATGTTTGTATCTAACGGGAATTAAATCTCGCGGAGTCCAAGGGGGCAGGAAAAAGCGGGCCGAGGCTGTGATGTATGGCCCGTGGTCGAATCGAACGAACTGCCTCCGCGTACTCGAAATGAAAGACGATCAATCTGACAGTGTTCGCCCTGAAGGCCTTCATTTGGGTACCGAAAAATCTGAAGACCTTCAGAAGGCTGAAGGCTTCACCTGAAGGGCATTTGAAGGCTTCACCTGAAGGGCAGCCTTCATTAATTTTCCCACGGGCATCGCGGGCAGACAGAGCACCCAGTCGGGTACTAACAAATATCCTCTAGATGTTCTACTGTGAGTCCGTCTGGCATACTAGTGAGATTACTATGCCCATTTTACCTCTTAGACCACTAAACAATCCACGGTGAACATACACGTACACGTGATGTATGAAGGCCTTCCGAAGCCCTCAGCAATTTCATCGGAAATTCTGAAGGCCTTCATGAAGCGCGCCTGAAGCCCTTCGGTGTCTGACGGCCTTCACCCTTCGGGCGAACACTGCAATCTGATGGAGGTGCGAACCAGCGCTACGGGCTCCTCTCTCCCTGCCTTTGATTCACATCGACGTAGATTTTAATCTACGCTGCTTGCGCACCGCTGGGGTTATGATTAATTCGAACTAAACAAGTTCTCACTGTTGTTTTCAGCCATATATCGCGCGATGTATAGAACCTGCCACAGAGACCTGAGGCAGGGGCCCCAGGGGGGAAGGAGGCGAGTTTCATTGATTGCCCGTGCTCGACTCGAATTAGCTTCCCCCATGCAGGTCGACCAACTGGCAAGAAGTGCGCCCAGCACTACGGGCCTACTCACCCGGATCTTCAGGGGTGGGAAAGGTCACGTAAATTTCGGCACCGCCCGCGGCCCGTCCCGGCCAAGATCTGTCCCTTAGCTCCTGCCGCCACATGCATCCCGATTCCCGACGCACGCCTGGCTTCTTTTCGGCTGCTTCCTCTTGCGCCTACCGAGAAAACTGTACACAATGCGAACACCTGCTCTTGTACGCGTGGAAAGAGCTTGGAATCGGAGTGGCCTCAGACTCGCGCCGCGCGGTGTTCTCATGATATCACAGTCGCGCTCGTGAAGCTAAAGACATGAAGGCGCCATCCCTTCACACTCCCTCCCCCGTCGTTCTGAGGGTGCTGCCGCGATCCAGGTTGACCTCGTCCTCCACCCCCCGGTCCCCGCTTTGATCCCAATTGCATTCGGTTCGACGTCTATCACGTGGGCAAGACCCGTTTTACGGCCGTGGCGGTACAGCAGCCAAAAGGGCGTGTTTTCACGAGAATCCATGGCTCTGACAATCCAAAATACCACTGCGAATGATGAATCGAAGTCGAACCGTGTTGGTATCCGTGTGTCCGCGTAACCACGGGAACTGCGATGGGGTACTATGGCAATTTTCATTCATAAAGGCGTGTTCCCCTCGAGTTCCCCTTGCATCCCAAACCTTACAGCCACATCCCCAATGGCCAAGTTTACTCTCACTCACGCCCACGTCGCGAGTATGCTGGACCCAGTGGCCCAGGGCGATTGGTCGGCATTCGTTGCTGCGATTGATCCCGACGTCCGTTGGGTTATTGGGTCAGAGAAGCAAGACAAGTTGTGCATGACAGGGGTATATGTGCGTCCACCGCCCATATCTCAGAGCGTCCAGAGCTGATTCAGACATTAATATTATCCACAGACCTTGGCGACCTGGAATGAGCAGGTGCGCACGCCCCTTGCGGGGAAGCTGAAGAACGGGGAGATCAAGATGGTGGTCTCGTCTTTCGATGTGGGTCCCTCTCACGCGCGCCGGCAATTTCAATACTCACAAAGCGAACAGGTCGTCGGGAACAAGGCGATTGCACAGGCATCTGGCGAGGCGGTGCAGTTGAACGGGAAGCCGTATGTGAATCAGTGAGATCAATCTTACTTGACGCGCCCGTGTCTGTCACTGAAGATTTACAGCTACGCGTGGTTCCTCACGTTCTCAGAGGACACCGGAAAGGTGGTGGAAATACGCGAGTATCTTGATACAGCACTGTTGTATGAAGTCAACACGACGAATTGAACTGCTAACGTTCATCCACATATGCTCCCCGTGTATCTCTGCGGTTCATGGGCCAGACTGAGACAGACTGTCAAGCATGTCAGACAATCAACCGAAAGCTACTCTTTAACAAGTCTCTCGGAGTCTAATCTCAACCGTTGAGTGCCTTGCACACCAAATTTGAACGATCACCCAAGCTCCTCCATTCGTGGCCTATGTCTCAGCTTGCGTAGGGTCCGATTGCGTAGGCTCCCCCCGCACCACCCAGAAATCTAATCCACGGAGGTGTTCGTTTTCGACTCGAGCCCGGAGCATTAGAGAATTTCATCCTTTTTTTCCCTTCTCATTCTATATTGATTACTGATCATTCGAATACACTCTACGGTACGAATCTCTTGTCAGCAGCGTCGTCCAAGCGCTTAAACCCAACTTTTGAACAACCAGGCGGCATTTGGCATGATAGCCGAACGGACTTGATTCTATCACTGCCATCTCTTTCCTCCTGCGCTCATCATCATGCCTCCTTGCTCGCTCCTGAATCTCCCCACTGAGCTTCTGGTGGAGATAGTCTTTCACTACAACTCATTCACATTTCTCTCTCCCTTTGTTGGCCTGGAGCATAATGCCCAACGCGCAGCTCGTCAGCAGGTTCGCACCATTTTTTATTGTTTCCCCTTATTATTTGAATAGCTTCGATTTTGAAAAACTGCGCTCTTTGTCCCAGACCTCCTCTGTGCTACGAAATCTCTTCCTGCCGATTCTATGGGAGCAATTCGAGGCATCGAAGCCTAATTTTCAAGCCCGTCGCACTCAGAGCGAGTTCGCCGAGAGCGTCGCTCCCTACATCAAGTGTGTTGACATTTCGATCTTGTGTCTACTATTCACCTGATCCGCCTTAGAACGGTGCATCTCGTAATAAAGTCCTGGTCCCGCGCCGACATGGAAGAGATCTTCCTCCTCATGGAATTCCTCCGCGGCCTGCCCAACCTCTCTGGCCTCCAGATCCAACGCGTCCCTCTTGCCATCCTGCCAAGCGTCTACGCCTTCAACGCCATCACCCTTCCAACAGTGACGGCGCTCTCCGTGCCCAACTCGCTCGAGATGACCTTTTCGTCCTTCCCCAACGTCACCACGCTCGTGTCCCCCGAGCTGCTATCCGGTGATTGTTTGATTCCCGCTGCGACGAAGAATTTTGGCCACCTTAAGGCCTTTCCAGGAGTGCGACTCGACGATCCTCATCGTCCCGGACCTCCAGAGGGTTTGTCGACGGTACTCGATTCAATGCTTCGTCGTTGCGATTACTAGTATACTGACACAGCCCTATCCCTCGCCTTTCTCCACCTACGCGCGCTCTCCGTCAGCAATACCTTTTCGGATAAATCCACTGAATCACTCGAGGTAAAATGTCGCTTTTATCAATTCCTTCCCGCTGAATTGCAGACTGTTTTCAGCCCTCTTCCGCAGCTTCCCCAACCTCAGTGAACTCTCTCTCGTGTACGAACACGGAACCCTCCCGCTGGAGGTGCTAATCGAGGGCGCGAAGGAGGTTTTTCATGCATCGCGAAGCGCGGAGACGAAGATACTGCGCGTGTGGAGTAATGAAGTACACACAGGGCCGCGGGTGATACACGTAGAGAGATGGTAGAAGTGCAGTCGCGGGTGACCCTCCTTTTCGCAATTTAATTCCCAAAACTTCAGAATCAAGAACTTAGATGGTACGAGAGGGCATGGAGCTGATCCTGGTAATCGTTTACTTTTGCTAAACACTGGATCTTACTTACTTCCTTCGGCTTCGACAATGAGCCCGGCAATCCACGTAATTTTCATCGTCGTGGCCAATGGATGGGTAAGCCTTCCTCTCTTTCCTCCCCACCATGCCGATTACCACAGTCCTCGCGTTGAACGTCAGTCGCCACAATACGAATTCTCCGGGCGCTCCTCTGGTTTTGGGACAATTCCGTACCTCTTTTGTTGAGTTTTTCGTCATAATTGACTGTTCTCTCTTCGCCTGAGTGGAACAAGGTTGCGTTTCGGCCCTATCTAATCCACTTCCAAGGTAAGATATACACCTGGTCGCGGATGATCCGCACTTGCAACACTTAGCCGGTTCGTCCGACGACGAATACTTGCGGGATTGCTCGTTCGAATCGAGCTTAGGTCATGCCACCTCTTCCCGCAGATATTTTCTTCTGCTTTTCTTTTCCCATCTGTCCGTGACTCTGATCAGGGGCCGAATTACGAAACCTGATACTTAGTGTCTTCTCCTTCTGTGGCAGGAAATCTGGACCAGCAGCCTGCCGCCAACGTCTCTTAGTTGAATCCCGCGTAGGATACTTGAGCCAGGTACGCAAAATAAGGCCCAGAAGCGGATGGTCCGCACCCGCATTTGATGCATTATTTCAGAGACAAACACGCGGGAGTAGCTCGTTCAATTCGGGCCCGGGACTTCAGTGATGTGTCTTGAATCTTTTTTGTTCTGGGTGAATTTGAGCATCAAATATCCAGTGGAAAATGGGCCGGGCCGCGTTCGACTGCCGGCGACTCTGCGTTGAATTTGGTTTACATTTGAGCTTTAGGAAGTGATTAAGTTACCCATACGGCTAAAAAATTGCCACAGGTTCGAACTCGCCATGGCTCGGACTCGAATCGAACGAGCGCACCCTGCGAAATACGTACCCAACTACCAATTATATGCAGGTGCGGACCCTCCGCAACCGGGCCATATAAAACTACCTGGGAATGTGGTAAGACGAACGAATATTGTAGTGAGGGTCGTAATTCATCTTTCTCTCCAATTCGTCGGCATGGCAGTGGAATCGCGAGGAGGAGTCACCCGCTGTCTCTGCGTAAAATAAACCCAATGAGCTGAAAGGAGGGACGTACTATTAGCGACTGGGTACTGGGCCAGTCGGGGTACTGGGCCAGTCGGGGTACTGGGCCACTTGGATAATACAGGCTCTTGTGTTGCAGAAGTGCGTGGTTTCGTGCTTGGAGGATGGAATACGATGTATAAGGATGTTGTTCATCAAATTTCTAGCCGGAGTGATGTATTGATCGGAAACTGTGGTCCGTTTGGTTTCGATGGTAGGGTGAGAATTGATCATTCCTTATCTCCGAACACCACTCGCCCTTTTCTTTCTTCTCGTTCTCGACCAATTCCCCCCCGATTCCTATGTTTGCGGGCTCGTTTTGCTGCCTTTACATGGGGCAATGTCCCCTGTGGACACTAGACGCCAGAATGAGTTGGAATCTCCCCTAGACTGTCCAAAAGCGGCCCGCCCTTCTCGTGCGCTTCCCAAGATGGATTGCCCTATGGCGACGCACCGGACATTGCTGCCGCCCTAAATTTCGGTATGTACACTGACTACATGCACGCAGATGCCCTCATCATTCCATTCCGCTCTCCACCGGTCATCTTCGCATTCGCTGTGAGCCATTCCATCGAAGTAGCCAATTTCGGTGTCGGAAACAAATGGATTTTGTTTGGAGGGTTACTGCTGTGGAGGGACCATCCAATGTACCTAGGTATGTCCCATTGCTTCCTATCTATCCCTCCAGAACTTATTTTACCCAATATTGGTCTCTCTACTTTGTAGCGCAGGCGATTTCGTCGAGACAGCAGTTTCCGCCACCCTCCCTTCCCAGAAGGACCACTAGTTATAACCCTTGTACATCTTTAGTTCCCATTCTGAGGGTATCTAATCATGCATTAGAACCTCTTGAGTCATTCTGAGTACTCCAAGCTGCTTGGTATACGTCTCGACGCCTGAATTAGGCCGGTGGCCCACTACCCCGTTTATTGCTATTTTGGGGTCCGGTCGAAAATAAATTTGGTGGCGGCTCAAAACAAGACGTAAAAATGCCCTAAAATGACCCACCTCACTCCTGGTATGTCGGTCCTCACCCAAGGGTTGACATCTGGCCATATTAACTGCTAGAACTGCTGGCAAGTGGGCAAAAGTGCTAAGGTGGCCCACTACAGGGTGACAAATAGTAGTTCCTTGTGTAATATTTCCTGTAAAGAAATTAAAAAGGAACAAAATACTACGCAGAAGCCTGGTACGCCCCGGGCTCGACTCGAACGAGCTACCTGCTCAGATGGCAGTTGGGTTAAAACCTACTGCAGGTGCAGACCATCTGCCACCGGGGCTTCTTAAACTCATCTGTGAACCTTGGTGAGTGTCAATAAACTGCGCGGCGCGGCGGGCAAAATATCACTACATCAAGTTTGAACAAGCGTGAAGACCCACACTGAATGCACGCGCTGTGCAACGTAATGTGGAACTCGGATAGTACTGAACGTTCCGAGGGCAAACACGTAGATTCCAATCCGGAGGGAGAGGAGTGAGAAAGGAGAAGAGGTCCCGGACATCGAGGGTGAAGTTCAAGATTGTGTTGTTCGAAGATCCTCATCATGGCCAATTTAATTGAGCGCGGATTGAATCGAGTCTTGGGCTAGGGCTGAAGTTTATCTTGAGAATCGGTGACCCAGAGTTTAAATTTGACCCGGCAAGGTCTGAATTTCGCAGTGAGTGATGGCCGTCTGATCCGCATGCAACGTGTCAGCCAAACAGCACAAAACCTTTGTGGGTTGATCCCAACCTTGTCCCAACCATCATCATCTCAATCAAACCCATACAAGCCCCGACGTGTCCGAATCCTCCCCAGGCCCCGCCGTGGACAACAATTTCCAGGACAACAAGCGCAGTCCTAGTCGCGCCTCCCACCGCCACCTTGTCCTCCAATTCACCCGCGCCGTACCACCGCACGCGAATCAGCAGCAGCAAAACGGTTTCGGCCAGTATACACCGCCGTACGGCGCGTACCCGCCGCCGCACATAATCCCGCCGCTCATTCCGTCTTTGGGTCCTCTTGCTTCTGATTGCTGCTCCTGGCGCGGGAGGGGGCGGCGCGAGGCTCGCGATAGCCCACACCGACGACGCGGCGACTAAATTGCGCGATAGGGTTCAACGCAGATGCTTCAACTGCTGCACCACGGACACGAGTACGTCGCGGAGGAGCAATTTGAGTCCGGGCAAGGTGGTGCGGAACGCCTTCGCCATTTTCTCTCTGCGCGTTTTTGGTTTCTTCGCGGCCCCGCGCGTCTGCCACCACGAGCTGTCCGCCTGTGCCGTGCGACCTTTGGTCCGCTTACCCTTCGCGCTTTGCCCTTCCCCTTCCACTTACTGCTCCTTCGTCCCTACTGCTCCGCCCGCTTCCCATCACGATCTCCGCGCGGCGGCGCGGGTTGGATTTCTCGGGTTTCTCTGTTGTCCACTACTTCTTTCCACTCATCCATCCTTTGCTTCCACTACTTTTATCGTCACCACCTCTCGTTCTTTCACCATCTTTTTGGGGCGGACTTTGGCTTCATATGATCATCGTTGCGTTTCAATGAATACTGACGTCCTGCGAACAGCTCTGCAACAAATGCCATCTCTTCGAGCGCCCCCATCCCGCCCCTGTCCGGAGCAGTTCCCGCACAACCGCGGCGAGCATTGCGTGTGGGTGGGGAGCGGGTGAGTGGTATCTTGTTTCCTAAGTGCTTTTATTACTTGGTCTGTTTCTCTGCGCCTCGGGGGCATTCGGCGTCGAGGAGAGCGCATTCTTACCTGCCGGCGTATCCTCCGACGCCGTGTGTTGGGCCTGTTTTTCCTTGCCAATGGTGTTCCTCCTGGGTGCTTTCGCGCGCATCTATTCCTGGGGCGTTCCCGTGCCGTATACCCCGACGTCGCGCACCCTGTCCTCGACAAGGACGGGCTGCTTCGATGATTTCCAACTTCCAGGCGCAGACGAGAGCACGTTTGACTCAGATCTTTCCTTTTTCGTGCACCTTCCTTATTAATATCGGGGGTGCACGACGCACTTTTGTGTTCCGCGTCCGTGCGTGTCTCAGCGCGGGCAGGTTGTGACTGGCTGAGATGCATGTAGACGGGAGTGTTTCTCTTACCGACACGTCCGTGTGTGGGGATGTGGCTCCACAATTCTTTTTCGCGCTCCCCCCACTGGCGGATTGCGGGCGCGTCCCTCATACATTCTTCTTTCCACTCCCACATCTGCCCGGTGTTACCAAACAAATCCATCCGTCTTCGTATCGTGCGAGCGCGCTATGCACATCACGCTATTGTGCCCTGCAGGGCGATCATTGCTTCCACGTCGTCCGGGAACCCGGCTCCGCTGAGTGAGCCTACGTGTGTGTCGCAGGGGCTGGGGCAGCAGCAGAATGATAGGTACCGCGTCTGCGTCCGATTCGAATCAGGGTGAGCAGCAAAATGAAAACGTGTCGGCAGCGAGTGCCAAGTGGGAGTGACACGGGCCCTGCAGCCACGACCAACAGATCCGGAAGCGGAAGCGCGGGTGCGGGTCCCCTCCTGGATGCGAATTCGCTTACGGCGGTGAGGGCGGGGCTGTGGGCGTGGGTGGGCCGGCGTCGGGAGAAGGGAGTGATGTTAAATGGAGTAAAAATCCCTTTCGTGATTCCGAAGCTACGTCGCTCGGTTGCGTCGCTCGAATAATTCTTGTCGCTTTGATCCGCCGTCCGCTATGGTACATTTTGGTACAATACTTACGATACAGCTAGACTCGCACAACCCTCTGTGAGTAGTAGGACAGTTGCTTCAATCGTCAATGATATGACCCGCGAAATTCATGAATCCAGCAGGTACAGGCCATCTGGGGCTTGTTGAACTCATCTGTGAACGGGTACTTGGCTCTAAAATCGCAGGGAAAAAGCGAAATGCGCCTGCGAATGACCCGCCTCGTATTCAACTACAGTACCGACGAAGTTAGCTGGAGTTCATATGGCCCGGTCGCGGATGGTCTGCGCCTGCACATAATAAGGGACCATGCCTGTGTTTCGCAGTACGCTCGTTCGATTCGCGCACCATATGCATAAACTGCGGCAGACAGGCAAGCGATTTTTTGGCTGCGAGTGTAACACTTCTCAAAGCTCAATTGTAGTGAACTTCCTGGAAATGCGGTGAGATAACACTCAAAAACGAACGAAAAGTTTATGATTCAGTGACCATTCGCTCCAGTTCATTGGCATGGGAATTGACCTTGAACCAGCGGGAGAGGACGGCACCCGGTGTTGTCCAACGTAAAATCATGGAATAACTTCGCGAAGAATCGGCGAAGTTGAACGTATCGTGTGATGTAAAAAGAAGAAGCAATGCTGTATGGCCCGGGCTCGATTCGAACGAGCTGCCTGCTCGTATTCAAATGGACATTTTATCTAAGGTAGGCCCCATCCACCCTCGACGAACGTCACGTGAAATTGCCTTATTCGGATGGAGCCAGAAAAGTAGTGAGTATTGGAGCAAGGAACGACGGTAGGGTCAATTCCCTCGACCAAATTTCACTTTTTTATGTATAGTACATGCAAATAAAAACTTATAATATTCGGACATCTGTACGCCTCTGAATTAGCGATTCAACAAGCCATCGTGAAAGCCATCAATTCCTGATGTGAGAGCAGTCTTTTGATCGACTGGAAATTTTGAAGTAATACAAGGCTCTGAGGTCCAGACTTCGTAACTATAATATATATATAGTCCATATCCACAATGTGGTCGAGGGGTTTGACTCTAAGTAGACTACAGATTATTCTGCGGGGTCATCTTCTGAAAAAGGCAATCTCACGTGATGTTCGTCGAGGGTGGATGGGGCCTACCTTACAACATGCAGGTGCAGACCATCTGCGACCGTGCCATATGAAACTATTTCAAAACGCGGTAAGATAATGAAGGATCATTTAATGTTGTTGACTGACCAGTGACCATTCACCTGTTGCATCTAGCCGTGGTACCACTTTCCATCTCAGACTATCCGAGACCGCGTACTCACCAAAGCTGCGAGCAGGCTTTTATGCGTGCCCTCGGCAGTGCCAGCGCAATGTCGGAGCCCAATTTGAATTCGGCATGCGTCTCTGCATGTGGCTCGGCGGTAATGGGAACTCGGCAGGCGATGTTCCGAACAGTCACCGTGACGTGACTGATGGTAGCTCTTGCCTTTTGCCACCATCTCACAACCCGACGCTCGAGGAATAAAGTCGCGTGGCTGAACTTCAACTTGTTCGATGTGGGCCTCCGGCTTCCACGCCCATAAAATACCCGTTAATATCTTTCACAGGTCTTGTCTCCCATTTTCCCGCGTCAGCTCCGCAGCCTCACCCAGACGAGCCACAATCGACGCTCAACTCGCTGAGCTTTCTCGACAAGTGGCGTTGCTAAAGTCGGAGCGAAATTCCCTTGCCCCAATATCGGCACTCCCGAACGAGCTTCTTGTCCGAATCCTCGCAGCGTTCACAGCAGGCACTAGGAATCACATGAGATCGCCCTCTTCCCTCGCAAGGCTGATGCTTGTTTGTCGGCACTGGTCCAACATCATCGGCGCTTTTCCCAGTCTTTGGGACGAGATAACAGTATGGAGCCATACATCCATGCGAAGTCTTGCGGCTCAGCTCCTTCGATCTGGCGGCGCCCCAATAAAAATCTATATTTTGTCATTCTACTCCCTTTATACCCCCCTCGTCCTGGCGAATGCGGCACGCATCAAAGCACTCGATCTCGGAGGAAATCCCGGTGATTTAGCAGCATTTATGCAGAACATGCAGGAGGTTGATTTCCCAAGTCTGTCCTCACTGGCTCTCGCCGCCCACGAAGCGGACCAATCAGAGCCAGCTGTTCATCTCCATCGTGATTTGCTCGGACGGATGCCGAGCCTCTGCCACCTCTCGCTGAGAGACGTTGATGCACCTTGGCAATATCTACCTCCCCTTCGGTCGCTCCGCTTGTCGGTTAGGCGCGCAGCTTCCCTCGATCTTCTACCTCTCGCCGCCCTCTTCAATCTCCTACAGTGCTCGCCAGATCTGCACACATTGAAGCTGGAGGGCGTGATTGACACTGGATCTGTCAACTCCTCCCTCCGTGCGGACCTTCCACACCTGAAACTTCTGCATCTTTCGGAAACACTGTCTCATTGCGAGGAGCTGATTGACCGTCTCAACTTCCCCGCCTCCGCCCGGCTACAGCTATGCCCTAGGTATATTAGCAATGCCGAAGATCTCCGTCACATCCTCGTCCCAATCCGCAACCATCTGCGCGCACCCCTGGCGCTGATTGCCACCACCATGGAACTAGCTTGCCGTGT